CCGTTTTGTGAGGATGTCTCAGGCGAGGGCGCCGGTTTGGGATTCGTCACCGGATCCAGCGGATCCAGCGGATCCGTCCTGAAACGGTGCCGGAGGCCGCTCTGGGGATCCTCTGGGCATCCCCCCCGGGGCCCGTTTTGTGAGGATGTCTCAGGCGAGGGCGCCGGTTTGGGATTCGTCACCGGATCCAGCGGATCCAGCGGATCCACCGGATCTGTCCGGAAACGGTGCCGGAGGCCGCTCTGGGCTCCTCTGGGCACCTCCCCCAGGGCCGGTTTTGTGAGGATGTCTCAAGCGAGGGCGCCGGTTTGGGATTCGTCACCGGATCCAGCGGATCCACCGGATATGTCCGGAAACGGTGCCGGAGGCCGCTCTGGGCTCCTCTGGGCACCTCCCCCGGGGCCGGTTTTGTGAGGATGTCTCAAGCGAGGGCGCCGGTTTGGGATTCGTCACCGGATCCAGCGGATCCAGCGGATCCAACGGATCTGTCCGGAAACGGTGCCGGAGGCCGCTCTGGGCTCCTCTGGGCACCTCCCCCGGGGCCGGTTTTGTGAGGATGTATCAAGCGAGGGCGCCGGTTTGGGATTCGTCACCGGATCCACCGGATCCGTCCGGAAACGGTGCCGGAGGCCGCTCTGGGCTCCTCTGGGCACCTCCCCCGGGGCCGGTTTTGTGAGGATGTCTCAAGCGAGGGCGACGGTTTGGGATTCGTCACCGGATCCACCGGATCTGTCCGGAAACGGTGCCGGAGGCCGCTCTGGGCTCCTCTGGGCACCTCCCCCGGGGCCGGTTTTGTGAGGATGTCTCTAGCGAGGGCGCCGGTTTGGGATTCGTCACCGGATCCACCGGATCTGTCCGGAAACGGTGCCGGAGGCCGCTCTGGGCTCCTCTGGGCACCTCCCCCGGGGCCGGTTTTGTGAGGATGTCTCAAGCGAGGGCGCCGGTTTGGGATTCGTCAGCGGATCCACCGGATCCAGCGGATTTGTCCGGGAACGGTGCCGGAGGCCGCTCTGGGCTCCTCTGGGCACCTCCCCCGGGGCCGGTTTTGTGAGGATGTCTCAAGCGAGGGCGCCGGTTTGGGCTTCGTCACCGGATCCAGCGGATCCAGCGGATCTGTCCGGAAACGGTGCCGGAGGCCGCTCTGGGCTCCTCTGGGCACCTCCCCCGGGGCCGGTTTTGTGAGGATGTCTCAAGCGAGGGCGCCGGTTTGGGATTCGTCATCGGATCCAGCGGATCCGTCCGGAAACGGTGCCGGAGGCCGCTCTGGGCTCCTCTGGGCACCTCCCCCGGGGCCGGTTTTGTGAGGATGTCTCAAGCGAGGGCGCCGGTTTGGGATTCGTCACCGGATCCACCGGATCTGTCCGGAAACGGTGCCGGAGGCCGCTCTGGGCTCCTCTGGGCACCTCCCCCGGGGCCGGTTTTGTGAGGATGTCTCAAGCGAGGGCGCCGGTTTGGGATTCGTCACCGGATCCAGCGGATCGGATCTGTCCGGAAACGGTGCCGGAGGCCGCTCTGGGCTCGTGCTCTTCGCGCCGGGGGTGAGGATGACGTGAGTTCCACAGAAACTCCCTCAAATGATGATGATGATGATGATGATGATGATGATGATGATGATGATGATGATGATGATGATGATGATGATGATGATGATGATGATGATGATGATGATGATGATGATGATGATGATGATGATGATGATGCTGATGCTGATGCTGATGCTGATGCTGATGCTGATGCTGATGCTGATGCTGATGCTGATGCTGATGCTGATGCTGATGCTGATGCTGATGATGATGATGATGATGATGATGATGATGATGGTGGTGGTGGTGGTGGTGAGGATGATGATGATGATGACGATGGTCATGGTCATGGTCATGGTCATGGTCATGGTCATGGTCATGGTGATGGTGATGATGATGGTGGTGATGATGATGATGATGATGATGATGACGGTGATGGTGATGGTGATGGTGATGCTGGTGTTGATGCTTATGCTGATGCTGATGCTGATGATGATGATGATGGTGATGACGATGATGGTGGTGATGATGATGATGATTATGATGATGATCATGATCATGATGGTGATGATGCTGATGCTGATGCTGATGCTGACGGTGAGGAGGAGGAGGAGGGCAGTAATGATTTTTTATCATCGGTGTCATGATGATCCTTG